AATGAGTTAAAGTAACGCAAGGGGCACCTATTTATTATTTATTTCGTGTTTCTTATAATTTGCTTTACAATACATACAATATTATAAAAGAAATAATGACATTATAAACTTGAAAATATAATATCTGTACAATACCTATAATTAATATTTCTCTCCACGTTATACATGAAATATTCGGTATATGTACAATAATACGAAATTCTTTTTACGTACTTATTATATTAGAGTTACTGTTACTTCGTTAATTTATGTTATCTAATCTTTTACAATATCGAATTACGTCCCTTTATCCTTGACTGTCCGAATTCCTACCTACCCGTATTCCGATCTGTAGACTTACCTATCCATTTTCTACCTACCCGTGTTTCAACATAATGAACCTACAAATCTTTAATTAACCCCGACGCGAGTTTTTAGAGGTTTGACTTGGAGTTTAATGTGCTCGCGAGATTTAATAGGGGTTTCACTCTCGCACATACGCGAGAATGTATGTATATAGAAGCATAACCCACCCGAATTGTGACGAATCAAAAGAAATCAAAGTATACTTCGTACAGCACCTTACTTAGGTACTCCATCAGAGTGGCCAATATTGACCACATACCTCGTCGTATTTAGTCCTTCGGTGGGCCAGATTGGACCTACCTTTCGTTGCTCCCGGCCATACAATCTGGTCATTTTGACCAGAGATCAGGAAGGAAGAAAACTCCTTCCATAGTCGGTTATCGTCACCGACAAATATTTCGTACGGTTCGAATATACGAGTGTCGATCGTATCGCAAAATGCACGACCACGAGAGGTTAATTAAAGAAGAATATTAATTAAAAAAACTTTACTGTATATACGAATCAAATTTATTTTTACTTCCGTTATTTGTTCAAAAATATTGACCATCTCTTCGTAACTTGATCTTTGAATTCGAAATTCAAGTAGATACAGAATAACATTTACTTCGCGTTAAAGTAATTTTAATCATATTCCTCGATAAATTAAAATTTATAATATGGATAAAATTAAATAATTAATTGAAAATTTTTCCTGAAAACCCGATCGCGAAAACCGACCGCGAAAACCGACCGCGAAAATACAAAGATGCGTGTGACTATGCATGTATTCATGCGAGACGCATCTTGAAAGTACGTAA